CGTGCGCGTGCCCAAAGACAGTTGGACATAGTGGTGTATTAGAGGTCAAAAAATTATATAAATACTGTTCGGTTTCTGGCACAAACCGATCGTTTCGTGTCTTAGGACATCAATGTGTCGTCACGAGCTGCAGGGTTTAATTTGGTTTTGTCTGTGTATGTTTTTTTGACCCTCAAAGCCGTGATTCCCATTCACTTCCATTATATAACTGACAGACTGCAACGGTTTGAGTTACTGAAGAAACAAAGTCACCTACATCTTGGATGCCCTGGGGGTAAGCAGATAAACATCAAATTTTCATTTTTGGGTGAACTATCCCTTTAACAGGGCAGACCTCTGTATCTTTATGCAATGATGTAATAGTGTTTGGTAAAGGTTAACTTACCTCTATACATGAGCCACTCCCGTACGGTCTCAGTGACGTCAAAGGAAACCCACTCCGGCATTCCTTTAGTCAGAACGTTCTTGCCGCCGATGTAACGCTGCTTAGCGATGTGCTCATCTGGACGAAGAATCTACCAACAGACACGCCGCACGTTAGTTTAAAAGTGACATTATATGCCATCGGCATTAGCTAACAGAACTTAAAAGATCATAACAGGTTTGATGAACTCTCAAACAGTAAGTCCCGCCCCAAACTCGAGTGATTGGTTGAGTCAGAAGTTGACATGTCGGGTCGCTCAAACAAACAGATCATGCGTTCAAATCTTGGTGGAACGATCGTATTTATGAGTTGTACGCACATGAACGCCACCATAAAATGGTATTTATAAGTGGGAAACTCAGGATTTTCTTTAAGCCCAGAATTTATGAATTTAATTTATTAAAATTAATGATTTTTTTGTTTTAATTTACAATAAAGCTAAGCTGAATGCAAAAAACAGTATTGTACAATTACTATAGAATATATACTGATTCAGTTTACAGCATAAAAACACATCCAATGCACATTCTTTATTTATCATTTTGTAGATGTAGCATTGAAAAATCTTTTTGAATTTCATATTGAAGAGGTAGCCTACATCGCCATCTTGCTCTGACCAAAGTGCTTTGAACGCACCTGACGCCATAATTTCGACTTTCCAACTCAATACGAACTTTCCCAAAGGATTTGAATGCACCAATTTCTGAAAGCGTCTCACAGTTTCATGCATGGAAGAAGAAAGCCGTCGTGTTTACAACTGTGACGATGAGCGCTTATCAGGATCAAATAAACGCTGGGCTTTCAAAAGTATGTGAAATACATACTTCAGTTCATAGCATAGACTCTTTAAAATACATCCAGGAGTTCTACACACCAGTCTGTTATTGTGGGGACATTTCCACGACCCTGAACATGATTGGTTGCTTTACCTGTCAGTCATATGGCCTCTTGGGCGGTCCTTGGCCATTTAAAGCAGTCATGGTTCCCAGACCTTCTGCCGTCAGTCTGAAGACTAACTCTTCAGTGACTCTGAACATTAAACTGAGATACGAGCAAAGTATTTTAACATGGAAAATAAAGACACACGTGATCTTGAGGAGAACACAAACTCTCTCCTGCACACGTACAGACAGACAGCGATTAATCCAGACACCGGAGCTGCCCGAGGCCAAACGCTTCTGCTCTCTCACTCATGGAAAAACTGAGTCGTGGAGTCTGATAGCCCATAATACTGCGAACGAACGGCCCGAACTCAGTCAACACACGCTGAGCACTGCGCCGCGTTCACGCCTCTGATTGACAGCTGCATTTGAATGCAGGCGAAGATTCTCGTTCATAATTATTTTTAAATACTGGAACTGAATAATCTCCATGATGTTGACAGTTCTTGAACTGAATTCTGGCAGACATCAGCTCTGTTCCACTCTGTCTACATAAGACAGCATCCTAGACAGAAACTCATAAGGGAGCAGTTTAGAAAGTATTTGTAGCAACTCATCACACAAATAACTTTGTAGTGATACTTTTCAAAACTGAATTAATTCAAGTTATCACAAGGCGCTCTGAAATGCTTGATTCTGATTGGTCAGTCGCGCCATTAGCGCCATTTTTGATTTCTGACAGGAATGAAAGCGAGGCTGTGAGGGATTGAAGTACAGTGCAACATAACGATTGTTCTGACAAAATAAAACTTTCAGTAAACAAAAACTCCATAAAACAGTTTTGAAAGTGGTGAGTTGTGACCACTAGATATAGGTCTCTCCCTTTTAAAAGCCGCTTTAAAAGAACTGTTTTTCTTCGCAGAAGCTTTGCAATTAGTGAGCTAATGAAAAAATTTAACTCATATCAATATTATGTGTCCAATTATTTACTTATGTGGCAAGCAGCCGTGTAATAGGCAGGATGAACCTCTTCACGGTGATCACCCTGTCAGGGTTTATTTTGCAATAACAACCATCTGGATGTACAATATCCCTTACTTATAATTGACATTTCTCTCCCTTTGGATATATTTTAAGCTAATCTCTTCACAGTGCATTCTGGGATTGCCTTCTCCATGATGAATACTGTACACTATGCACTATTTACTCCACTGTAGGTCTAGTGTATGAATTTCGTGTTCAACATTCCACACTTAATGTTTTTCAGCTAAATAAGTGCATCATCATCACCCAGTTTGAGTTTGCAGTCTGAATAAAATATGCACAAAAAAAAAAAAAACCCTGCAAAGATAATATCCTCACAGGATGTGTGATTCACAAATGAATGACTCATACAGTTGTTTTTAATGAATCGGTCAAAAACACTCCTCAGTCTCAAATGCATGAGCTATGGGTTTGATCAGTTTAATAACTGACTGAATCACTGACTGAAGTCATTACTGTTGTCATGTCCAACTCAAAATCAACCTAGAGCAGTTACCGTGTGCCTCCAGACACTTAAAGCAGTGTCATTTCTGAGCTCAAAGAAAACACAAGGATATTTTATATAAAGAATATTTTCAGACATAATTACTTTATTTTACTAGCTTTTTCATTTGATTCAATGAATTCATAAAGACAGTCACTTACTTCGTTCATGAATGAATCAGCCATTCTGAACGAATCAACTGAATCAATGACTCACTCATTATGACTAACTTTCTGCCAGTTTCAGTGTCAGCAAAGTATCATTTCATGTTTTTCCCATCATATTTCTATATTCAAAATTTCATATGGAAAACATTGCATTAATGTATTAATGTCAGGTGTGTTAAACAGTCTAAATAAATACATATAAATACCACTTCAGATGCAGCTTCTGTGCTGCTTCCGAAGTCTAAAGATGGATTCTGTTGATACTGATTTCATTTGACTGGTAACACCTTTTTGTATCTTATTGACTTAATGGTTTAAATTTAAATTCTAAATAAAACAAATATTAATGGAGAAAACTATACAAGAAAATGCAATTTCGGTGTATTTTTTAAACTTTATGTTTAATTCAATGTGTTACTTGCCGTTTCTTTGTAACTGTTTGTGAAATGTACTTTTTGTTCCCAGTGTACATTTAATAAGGTTAGAGAAAACTGCCCTTATAAAGGTAAAAGATGCCCTAGGAAATAAATTTAAGGGGATAAGTATTGGCCTGTAATTGTAAAGTTAATGTCTGTCATTGATCAGAAGGTGCTCCTAACATTTTCACAATAATTACAAATTTGTTAACTGTCATTTCATTTCTTACAAAGTTATCTCATTCGTCGTCTTCACTACAAGTTCAGTAGAAAATCAGAAGACCCTTGAAAGCAGCTGTAAGAATGCGGCCCCTCACTGTCTGACGCTTCAGTCTGCCAGATAAAATCAGCATCCGCCGCGGCTCCGGAGCATGGAGGCCCCACCACTGCTTGGCCCATGAAAAGCAGGCTGGGATAAGTAGGTTCTGGAGCGCTGCGAGGACCTAATCTAGCATCCTGTGAGACCGCAGCTGGGGGCGGAGGTCCGTGGAGAGCAGTTGAGCGGCCCACGCCAGAGCCGAGGCCAGCGTGTGGGGGCGAAACGCTCGCTTCACGCCCCGCCTGACCCCGGCGCTCTCTCCTGCGGGGCAAAGCAGCTTCTGACGGGAGGCCTGAGACCGATGGCTCCTTTACAGGAAAAGCTGGAACCCCATCAGGGCTCTCAGGCTCCCACGGGAGATCCGGGGGGAAACTGAACGAAAATCCCCACTGTAAATACAACACCTATAGAATATATACTTGCGAATGAATCTGTTATATAACGAGTGGCAGGGTTTTATATTGCGGTTAGAGGCATCGGCATGTGAAAGTAAAGCTCTGAGTTTCTCAGAATGCTTCTTTTGTTCGCTTGCAATTGTGCAAACGTTCTTCTGTATAATCCATCAGCACCTGGAATACAGATCAGGCCTGTAAAAGGCTCGCGCTCGATCTGAGTTCAGTACAGTGCCATCATCTTTCTCTCGTGTCTGTGTTTGTTCAGTGTGTGGAAACTCTAGTATCTGAGGCTGAAATGTGAAGGATGTGTTGTACGTATGAACTACTTATGTGCTAAAGCATTGCCGATAATTAAACCAAGTACTATAGAAAACAACTGATCACTTTAACTGATAATTAAAAAGGTATTAATATTTGGTTAATTGTTAAAAATATTCACTATACACTACAATTGGGGATGTTTTTTGAACAAAGTCTCTTTATATTATTTTATTTTTGCATTAAAGTGTAAAGAATATTAATATATAGAATAATATATTTTTTGTATAATACAATGCAGCATTTACTAAATATCTGCTCAATGCTGAATGACTGTTGTATACTTCATTATATGATTGGCTTACAAGTTGCATGTGATCTTGTTGCGAATGTTTTTTTTTTTTCTGTGAAACACAGAAATTGACGTCTCTTCCAACATCTCTTCTTCTAATGATCCTTTATTTTTATAAATGCATCTACTCCTGTGGCTTTGCTGACTGATCTGCAGAAAGCGCTGTAACTCCCATCATTCAAAGACATACACAACCTCAGGCTTTGTGTGAGTTTATGAAATAGTTTTGGCTTTATAATGCTTGCAGCTACCAGTAAGACTGTCATACGCTCAGCTCAGTTTCACATACTGTTCATGTACATCCATTCCACAGAAATCTGCAGATTTTCCCTTTAAAATGAGTAGAGGATATGTCCAGAAATCCCATCTGGGCCTGATCGTAAATCCTCTAAATCTTCTTGGAAAAATAAAGTCTTAACCCTGTAAAGCCTACTGTATCATATCTGAAGGCCTCTAAATGATCAACATGATCAAAATTTGCTGTTAAACCAGTTTCACACTCAATCTGCTCATGTCTTCTGTCTCTGATTGATAGTTTAGAGTTGCAGTCAAAGCTCTGTTAGTGTAATTGTACAAACGTCCAGCTTCAGCTCGAGTCTTTCTGCTGTCAAATCTTGACTGATTTTGATCAAGTAAAGGTCAGAATAACTGCAGTAATATCTCCAGATGAACACTTACTGGACTGAAGCAGCTCAGCTTTACTTGATTCTCCATCAATCATGTTTTAGAGTCTCAAATCTGATCCTCAGGATCTTTTGAGGAGCGTTTGTTTCCAGAAGCTTTACTTTCACTGTTCCTCAGCGGAGGAATGATCTTCACAAGCCTCCAGAACATCTCACATCTTCTGAGGAGCCTTTATTTCTTCAGCTCTCAATCACTGCATTATATGTTTGGAGCATTTCAATCTCATCTTACTGAGACAGATTACTGGAGATATAGAGCGACCGCTGATATTTATATCATTATAAATATCACTGTTATAAACATCTCATTGATTTACATTACAAGCATCAGAATTCCATCATATAAATATCAGCATCTGCACCAAATTACATGTTTGTGCTCAGTTTGAGTCTAAATTTGAGCTGTTTTTTTTTCCCTCCATATTCTCACTATTTCAGACTATATGAGCCATAAAAGCCTGATGGATCGAATATGATGCTCCAAAAAAATTCCAAATTCCATTTGAAATAATTAGATTTTTCAGACCATCATTTCATAAGTCAGGCGGTATAGGGTTAATGTGAAGAGTGTAAGCAGCTGATAGAGATACAAGGCACCTGGTAGAGCTCGATGCGCTGCTCGTTTCTCTTGGCGCTGGAGTTCGGCACCCGCAGCGCACGGAACTCTGCCCGGAACAGGTTGGTGGCGTTCTTCTCCATGCTGGAGACGTTGAAGCGGAAAACTTTTGATGTTATTCCCTTGGGGCAGTAGGGAAGGTCATCTGCAATGGGAGAGGTCAGAGGTCAGTATCTGATCCGATCACTCATTCAGGCAAACCTCTCACCCATCTGTTTATGCTTTGTGGCACAAGAATCAGAAGTTCAGAAATGCTGAAATGAAAGCCAAATGTGTAAAGGACTAAACTACAAACAGGTGCAAACCTCAGATTACATGAGTAAATGTCATATCATATCATTTAATTTCACATTAACTGCTCAGAAGCATATGGGCACTTCGACACTGTAAACAATTTTGGAGATTAAAGATTATTAAAGATTATCGGAGTATGTTTTACAAGAAAATACGATTTCAGTCTTTCTACTTCAAAATGTCATGTTTAATTCAGTGTGTTACCTGCTGTTTCTTTGTAACAGTTTAAAGAATTTTCTAGCAGTTCTGAGTGAAAAAAAATAAATACAAAATTCTACACCAAATTCTTTTCAGTGACGGATTCATTCACCCCCCAAAAATGAAACGTTTGTCATTATTTACTCGCCTCATATTAAGTCCAAGTCTGAATATCATTCATTATATAATAATACCAGCAAATAGAAAATCACAGCAAGTGACATTTATTGTAAAGAAAGATGCACAAACTCACATTTCAATGCTAATTTATTGACACACACACACACAGTCCGCATTGTTGTATTACTCTTCTCCATTATCTGATGAACTACTGCTGCCATGTTCGGTAGAAAATGTATACCAGCGTGTCTCTCAGTTGTTTTTACTGTCTGCTTTCTGCAGGGAGTGAAGTTTGCGGTTAAACGCACCAATCAAAAAGTGGGCATCATTCCCAAACAACAGCTTACCTATTTGCACAGAAAACATCCTCCTGCAAACAGACGTGTGAAACACATTCATCTGTTCTGTGCCTCGTTCTAATGTTGATGAATCTAGATTATTGCAAACGCACAAACGGGTTCTCTAGGTCTCTAGCATAAAATAACATCACTAAAACCATCTCTATTTAATGTGTTTCCGCACAACCTCTTGCACAGCAAACCCTACACTAGTCTCTTCTGCTCACCAGGGCTGCATTTATTTGATGAAAAATACATTAAATGCAGTAAAAATTTTGAAATAATATTACGGTTTAAAATCGTTGTTTTCTATGTGAATATCTGTTAAACTGTAATTTATTTCTGTGATGCGCAGCTGTATTTTCAGCATCATTACTCCAGTCTTCAGTGTCACATGATCTTCAGAAATCATTCTAATATGCTGATTTGCTGCTCAAGAAACATTTCTGATTATTATCAATGTTGAAAACAGTTGTGCTGCACAATATATTTGTGGAAACCGTGATACATTTTATTTTTCAGGATTCACAGATGAATAGAAAGTTCAGAAGAACAGCATTTATTTGAAATAGAAATCTTTTGTAACATTATAAATGTCTTTACTGACACTTTTGAGCAATTTAATGCATCCTTGCTCAATGAAAGTATGACTTCCATCCCATGTTGAGCACTGTTTTTTTTTTTTTGGTTACTATAAAATGCATAAGATTTAAAGTCACTTAGTTATTCAATTTCTACTAATCATATTATATAAATTGTATGGTCAGTGGGAATCTTTGCTTATGTACTTTCAGTTGATTTGAAATGTTATCCAAACTTCAAATTAATTTAAGCATGAACATTTTGTGAATCATAATTTCGCATACAGGTTTTATGCACAAACATGTACGCTGACATGTTACATAGCAATTACCACAGTGCTTACCTTCTAAATTCTTCCAGTTGACTAAACCTTTTTATTTAACCAAGTTTAATTTGAGCATTTTATTTAACACTTTTAAAAAGCTCCGAACTGTAAAGCGTTTCTTCTGCTTTGTCTAAGGTCTAACGCTAGAGTCTGTGCTCACTGATGACAGACCACAATCCATTAGCCATCCACTGAATTCCTGACTGGCTGACTGGCGAGTCAGATGTGGAATATTTATGTAACATGAACAGATTATGCCAGATCTGGCCAGACGCGCTGCACATACTGTACCTCATGCAAACCGCACGCTTATGCAAGCCTCCTTCTTGATTTTGGTGCACAAACTGCAAACATGTACAAAGTCACACCATCTTTCCATGTGGTGCACAAAATGCACCACAATCAAAAAAGAAAGCAGTGCAAAAGAGCACCGAATGGAAAGATGGTGTGACTTTGTGCATTTGTGGCTAACAGGTATATCTTTGGAGAATGTTGTGGCTGCTAACCAAAACAAGGCAGATGCGATCGTCTCTCCATAAGCTTCTCACGCCACTCTCCTTCTTTAAGGTGGAAAGCCCCACTTTAAGGTTTGAAATTCTAATCAGCTCTTCGGTTTCCTTCTAGATGATCTCATTTTTCCTACTGCAGTGTTTTAGGTGGATTTCACATTATGGCTGATTTTCGCCAGGGCTCCAGTGCGTAGCTCATTTGTTCCATGAATGGAAGTGCAGGGATTGTTGCTATAAATTAAGTCGAATACAAAGATTAGTTTGCAGTCATCAGACATGACAGTGTGACGTCACTGCGATCACACGTTTGCCTCCACACTGCAAAAAATGCTGTTCTTACTTAGATTTTTTGTCTTGTTTCCAGCCAAAATATCTAAAAATTCATAAATCAAGAAGGTTTTCTAGACAAGTACAAATTATTGTCTTGTTTTCAGAAAAACATGTCAAAATTAAGTGAGTTTTTGCTTAGAACAAGCACAATAATCTTATTTCAAACAGAAAACAAGATTATTTTGTTTACCCCATTGGCAGATTATTTTGCTTGTTTCAGGCAAAAACTCACTTAATTTTGACGTTTTTTTTTTCTGAAAACAAGACAATAATTTGTACTTGTCTAGAAAATCCTTCTTGATTTATGAATTTTTAGATATTTTGGCTGGAAACAAGACAAAAAATCTAAGTTTCTGAAAACAAGACAATAATTTGTACTTGTCTAGAAAATCCTTCTTGATTTATGGATTTTTAGATATTTTGGCTGGAAACAAGACAAAAAAACATTTTTTTTTTGCAGTGCAGGATTTACAAACTGGAAAGAAAGATTGCGGAGAATGCTTTTATCAGCAATACTAGCTAGTTATTACAAACCAGTGTTATTTTAGTATTGTGGTAGCAGTTTACAATAATATTCTGTTTGTTAATATCAATTAACTGCATAGTAAACATGAACTAAGAATGAAAATACTTCTAAAACCTTCATTAATCTTAGTTAATTTCAACATTTACTAATACATTATTAAAATCAAAAGTCGTATTTGTTAATATTGTTTAAATGACCTGAGCTAACATGAACTAACAGTTGTATTTTTATTAACTAACACTAAATACTGTAACAAATATATTGCTTAGTTTTATAGCAGTTTATTGTTTATAATGTTAACGAATTTGATCTTATTTTAAAGCACTACCAGTATTATTTAGATTCTTGTTATAGTTTTATTGCTATTTTAAATCAGATTTTATTTTTATACTATCAGATATCAGTCATTTTTAAAAATGATTTTGTTATGTGCTTTTGTCATTTCTATTAGTTTTTGATTATTTTAAACATCACCATTTAGGTTTGTTAGGTTTTATTTCCAGTTAGTCATTTTAGTGCTTCAACTTTCAGTAAAAGCAACTTTTTTTTTTTTTTTCATCTAATATTTGTATTTTATTTGAGCTTTATTTCAATAAACAATAATGTTTTAATAGTTCTAGTTAACGATAATAACTATGTTACTTTCATCATTTCTAAGTGTCGAAATGCACTTTATCATGATTTTTAAATTTTATTTATTATTATTATTTTTTTTTTTTAAAGGAGGTATTGGTATTTATGATGTTTAGTTTTATACAAAAAGTATATTTTTTACATTTTAGAACAGAACCTTCAATAAAAACTAAAATTAAAACCAAATAAAACATCTTTATACCACAGAGAAAACAAAAAAACTATCCAAAAGAGATGTATTAACAACCAGATTTTTCTCAAAAATAATGCAATCAGGTTCATCCACAATACTACAAAAAGAGCACAGTGGATAGTTATGAGGGAAAATGTTGTGAAATAAAGTCTGAAAGAGTTTAATGTTGAAGTCATGTGACTGTGGTTTAGTTTGTTTATAACCTACGTTTAGCTTTTGACTTCTGGCGATTGTACTTAGGCTTCATAAAAGTTGTGTTCATTTGTGAAGATTATCATGATGGACAAAATGTGTAAGGATCATAAACTAACAGAGCTTATTTCCTGCAATAATCCAAAATGTAATGGAGAAATCCTATTGGGTTTTTGTGGAGGGAACCAGAGTGATGCGAACTGTTAGGTTGCGCTACAAAAATACATCACCGTAGCGCTCTCTGACAGTTTGAAGATCAGAAAGTTAACTACCTGTATTAGGAACACCAAGGTTTATCCAATACGTTTTCTCCAATTACTGAGAAATGTCATTACCATCACACCTCCTTACAATATACCAAAATCAACGGAAAAGTTGATTACATATCTAATCCTCGAAGAATAGATATTTAGATGCAACATTTCAAGCACTTAAAAGTTTCCCTCACCGAAGAATCAGCCTATTATATTCAACGAGCTAATAGTGCAGAACTTTAAGGGCTAAATCATTTCCATCCATCACAGCAGATAACAGCGGACTGAATGCAAATCAAAGCAACTTGTAAAGGCCGATCAAGATACACTATCATTGTGTGTTTTCTTTCAGGTCCTGTGCCGTCTTTTTTCGGCTTCCAAATGGCAAGTCCGAAGTGAAATGAGGTCATGCTGTAAATATTTAGAGTGCATTTATCAAGAGCTGTATAATAGGCTGTGACCCACGCTAAGTGACTGTTTGACTCCTGCGGTCGGTTATTTGAAGTGTCTTTAAGTGAATCCCTCAAACGAATGACACGACGGCTGAAAGGCCGCAGACTGCGAGATGAGATAATGTGCAAAAGCCTGCTGCTGACTCGAGCGCTCACGTGACTGCGAAATAAGAGATGAAGAGAAGGAAAAACTGCGTGTGTGTTACTGTGTTTTGGCCTGCAAATGCGATCTCTTTTTGCTTGGAAATTACATCACCTTCTTACTATTAAACATATCAGAAGGGCCGCTTTCTGCAGCTCTGATCCACGTCCATCGCTCTCTCTGGCATCCGCGGCCGTCCGTGATTTCCAAAAGCCAGATAGTGTTAACCAGGAGACTGTCACCATCTGCTAACTCAACAAAGAGCATTTTCTGGAAAGTTGACTGTGACGATGGCAGTCGAAGGGTTTTCAAGTGCCAATCAGTCAGCAACTGGAGAGGCTGGAACGCAGGTGCACGGCTTTATCTCGCTCTGCTCCGGGTTAATGGATAAACAGGTCTGGAATGGCAAAAATGCTTTCCAATGATGTCACGCAGTCATTTTTGGATGCAAATACACCCAGAGCCGATAAGAAAGCGTAACCTGTTGATGCACTCAGAGCCATGAATGCTGGGGTGCTTTCTAGACCGCATGGAAAAGCACGATGCGTAAATGATTCCACATGCCGCGAGCTTCCAAAATGCAGCGCATGAAAAAGCCATTAGTTTAGCTGATGTGAATGGAACATGAATATACATTACTCTATCCCCGCCTCATTCTCCCATACTGCGCTCACTGAAACTGAAAACTGCTTGATGGAAAGAAAAGGGATCCTGTTGCCAGGCCGCAAATGCGCGTCTTCCCGCTGGAGTGCTAAAATTATTTTGTGAATTCCAGTGGGAAAATGCTTTCCAATGATGTCACACAGTCATTTTTGGATGCAAATACACCCAGAGCCGATAAGAAAGCGTAACCTGTTGATGCACTCAGAGCCATGAATGCTGGGGCGCTTTCTAGACCGCATGGAAAAGCACGATGCGTAAATGATTCCACATGCCGCGAGCTTCCAAAATGCAGCGCATGAAAAAGCCATTAGTTTAGCTGATGTGAATGGAACATGAATATACATTACTCTATCCCCGCCTCATTCTCCCATACTGCGCTCACTGAAACTGAAAACTGCTTGATGGAAAGAAAAGGGATCCTGTTGCCAGGCCGCAAATGCGCGTCTTCCCGCTGGAGTGCTAAAATTATTTTGTGAATTCCAGTGGGACTTTATTTAAAAATAACACACTGAGCACTTGCATAGTGGCGTGGGGTGATAATCATTTACGAAGCAGTTAAAATATACATTTATATGATGCAATCACCTGCTGCCATCATAAAGAAGGGCGCTCAAAAAAAATGTGCACGCATTTCCCTTTCCGAGAAAAAAAGTTGACTCCTTGACTTGCACTCACAAGCTCATGCCATATTTTGTCCAATCAGACGCTCGCTAGAATGAGAAAGCCCCTCCTCCTAATACCACCTGCCATCAACTACCAACAGCAAGCAGCCCTAACAAATAAAAAAATCACAGTTCACAGCTGTGACGTGATCAGCAAATTAAAAAATATATGTTCCACATAAACTTCCTGTTTCAATAAGAAATGCATCAACACTTCAAAGAAATCGACGCTTGCCAAGTGGGGCTTTTAAAAGCATTAGCCTCTAAAAATTCAGATCATTCAGATCAGAATCCTCTGGAGAAACCAGCAGTTCTCTGAGGAACGTTCCAAATGGAACTCAGAAGTTCCTGCGAGAACATTGGTTAGTGTTCCTCCGGTACTCTAAAAAATAAAGGTTCTTTATTGGCGTTGACATCCATGGAATCTTTGCATTCCATAAAAGGTTCTTAATAGTGGAAAAATGTTGAGAAAAATCAGTCTAAGCAAAATTGTTCTTTTAAGAAAGGTTTTTTTGGGGGGAACCCAGAATGGTTCTTCTATGGCATCACTGCAAAAAAAAAAACCTTTGAAGCCTTTATTTTTAAGAGTGTAACAAGACCACAAGGGAAGATCTTGAAATATATATAGAAGTTAATTTCATTTTCCCTCTGATTGGACCGTCTGGTTCTGATCTCACTAAAACCCATCAGTTCTCCAGAATCTGTTGTGTTACCTTTGAACAGCTTCACCGAGCAATCAAGCTGTCTAGTGCTAAACTAGGAAGACATTCACACAACTGACTGTGTCCTCAAATAATCTGGGGCCCGTCTGGACTTGGACAGGACCCAGAGACACATGGAAAATTGGTGGGGATCGTTTTGCACTGACCCTCCGATGAACGAACAGACCAGACAAACCATGCGAATGCTTTTCAGATGTCGAGTCGTTCCCTTTATTATCAGGACTGATTAAATCCAGTTTCCTCGTGTGAACAGCGCAACGTGAGTCAGAGCTGCACAATTATCACCTGCCTGTAACACTTCATTAGAACTTTCACAAACAGAATGACATTACATCAGTGAAACGGTTCTCAGAGATAAACAAATGCTCAGAAATTCTTTAAACTGCACTGTTTATATTGCACCGTGCTCTCTAGATATTGGTATCAGCACTGGCCATTAGAGAACCACACCGATTTTTTGTATTTGCATTTATATGAACGACTGATCGATTGGTGATTTTAAAGCAGTACTGTAAATGCACGTCTATGGAAAGCCCGGTCTCCGGTGTGAGACCTCCTCGTAGGACTTACTGTTTTCAGGGGAGCCCTGGATCATGTTGAATTTGTGTATCTCTTTAGCGTAGTATTCGGTCTCGGTGTTGTCCTGGCCGCAGCTCTGATGTCTGTCTCGCCCTAACTCCTCCAGCAGTTCCCTAGTGCTGTTATAGAGGGCCAGCACTTGATAGGGCACCTGACTATGGCCCAGGGTCTGCGGCGGGCTGGTCAGGCGCAGCTTGCTGAGGATCTGACCCCGGATGGCCTCCACTCTCTTCTTCTTGATGTGGTCGATGTCCACCGTGGTGCAGGTCGACAGAGAGAAACTCATGGTCACGCTGTTTAAGAGAAGGAAAAACAGCAGTCCTCTGCCCAAATGCATGGTTTATTCTGTACACTTGTCACTCTAGTAAACACAGTTCCAGTTCAGCTGAATAGGTTTAAAAGGATAATGAGACTAATTCCAGGTTGTCCTCTCTATGGGCTGGACGGAGTTCAAGTGCTGAGCCTGTTTTCTCCATGAGATTCCATGCTGCAACCTTATTCCATAGAAGCACTCCACAGTAATCCCATAACATCCTTAAACATCCATCACTGGTGCTTTACAAGGAGCCAGACTTCCAGCATAGCGTTCCCCAGCCGCATTTTCCCCTAAACCGAGCGCTGTGAAGGACTTCTGAAGCTCTCGTGTCAGATGCTCGCGCTGGAGTGCCAGGCTTATTTCGCTCCCGCTGCGCTTTTATAGTCGGAGCCGGAGTGACGCGTGCTGTGGGCGGAGCTTCCTCTGCTTTCCCATTCATGCAGTCGCTTTATATATGTTAATGTAATTGCATATTACGTACCCCAAAGCAATGGAAACGAATTGAATATTTTAGAAATGACTGTGCAATCCTAATTATCTAAACGCCAAATGTCCTTCTCTGGCACACTCTGACCGCTGGGTTTGTAAAGTTTGTGCGCCTCCTGCTGGATGTGTCGTCTGATTTAAAAACACTTTATATATAGCCTGTCTTCATTTTATGTGCTTAGATTATATGCTTACAGCATGAGATGTGATTGACAGTCAGTGAGTTCATAATAATCACGTCTGTGGCGTTTCTAGAGAAATGCAAAACTTTATTTGAAGTCACTCGTGATTATTTTCATGCAGTTAGCACGGTTCCAGGATCTTTTCCTTTAAGTAGATCTTTATTCTGTGCAGTGCAACCATCAATTTAGTTTCAAATGTAACTGAGCGAGGATCCGGTGATCTTCATTCAGATTTCACTGTCCATGACATATTTCAGTTTGCATGAAGTCACTGATGTCAGGTTACAGTGGGAACTTGCATTTCAACATTTCTATATATGGCAAGATCCAAGTGGCTTAAATCAGCATGCACTGCAATGTCCTAAACAATATAAGACCTCAGATTACTGGCACGCAACCAACTCTCCCTTAAAAAACAAAAACAAACAATACAGCATGAGTGGATGTCAGAGCCCTCAGTGACCGTCACTGTCCCACAGACAGGAAGAATCACACACTGATATTATATTACACCACATTCTCTCAGGGACAGAGAATACGTCTGAACTTTGTTTTTGCTTTCTATTTATATGTGTGTACTTATATTGCTATAGGCTCTGTACGACCTTGAGTTTTAGAAGAAAAAAAAATTTGACACTTGAAATCTTAAAAAAGGAAAGAGAGAGAGAGAGAGAGAGAGAGAGAATTCTTCAAGCTTCAAAACAACGTTCATGTGAAAAAGGTTTTTTTTTTTAAAAAGACTTTTATTTTATTTATTTATACTTTTACACATGTATTACAGAAGTCTACAATCTGGGTAAGTGTGGTATATAGGGGACAAGTCCAAACAGACAAATTCTGACAAATTTAACCTTTGAACACAAATAAAGAGGCACAATAAAGATGATTTTCATCATCATTAATACTCTCCATTGTGTCTGTGTATGGATGTTTTCTGTCACCTAAAATCATCAACTTATCAACAAATATTAGATAAGACAAAACTCTTTATTATTATGATTCTCTTAAAACAAGTGGGGATACCATTGTACAGGGATGGTAATGCCATGGCACTTTAATATATTATGACACTGCCATTTTCATATAACATTATATTTATGATAATCCAATGTGCTTTATAGAATAGTATTATCATGGCACATGCCTAACAACAGGGTATGACCAAGGTGTCATGTTCAGAAATTGCACATTGTACTTTTTACTGTTTATCAGCCTGATTTTTTATTTTATTTTATTATTTCTAGTTGTGTACATGTATTTTCTTTTATTGTAGCCTATATAATGACCAACATGGACACACAACAAACACTGGGCGACATTAATACGGATCAAATGGGCTACATAGGAAAGAAAGAAAGAAGAATCATGAACTTCTCATTTAAGTTTATACATGTTTATTGTTTAATGCATTGAAAGTCAGCAGTACAATTTTGTGGGTTTTTTTTTTTTTTTTTTGCATAAAAATCATATATTTGGGTATGACTGATGGAATTTGCCTTGGATTTTTTTTTTTTTTTGGTTGAACTATTCCTTTAATGACAGCAGCCCTAGAGCTGACAAAATAAAACATGATGATCACGTTCTTAGGTTTTAAGATGGTTTTTTTATATTATTATAAACAAATGTAACAGAATGACCAGTGTTGGGGAGTAACTAGATACATGTAACAGAATTACGTAATTTAATTACAAAATAAATGTAACTGTACTGAGAAAAAATGTGTAATTTGCCTAGATTACAGTTACTTATGAAAATGTTAATGATTACCCTTACGAAAAAGAAGTTTATTCAAGTGTGCTATTAGTATACTTCTTTTAAACTAAAAAATAGGAACGTATACTTTCAGTCTAATTTTATGTACTTCTCAGACATGGGCTTTATGTACTTCTCAGAAATATACTTAAAATGACATTTAAGTATACTTGACTTATACTTAGAAAAAGTCTAAATATATTTTTAGCTATAATTGTGCTCCTAGAATCCGTGTTTTCATTGTTATACGGTAGGGGGGGGTAGTACACATCTTCTGTACAGAATTTCTAAAACACAAGTGAAGAAGAAACCGAAACAACAGATGCTTCCACATGTATTCTAACACGATCATCAGACATAAAACGGTATCAAAACTGTGTAACATTATGGAATAAAATGTCGACCAATGAAGAGGTAATAATAACTGTCAAGCTTTGGGGTGTTGATCGACTTTATCTACGTTTTGATTATCGTTCTGAATCCAATTCATAGTCTTTTTTCAGCTTTTTGTTCAAAATGTTGTTTATTTCTTTATTTTTTATTTATGAAACTTACCAAGATTCAAGTGTTTAAAAAAAGAATGCATGAAGCTAGAATAACAAATTTTTTTTACAAGCAGATACCCTGTTCTTTCTTTTGGTGTTTTGTATGTTCAGATATTCATATAACAAAATTATATATTATATACAAATTAATACCTAAATAGGGACGTAGTAGTATACTTAAAGTATGATGTAAAGTTCACTTAAAGAAAACTTACGAGTATACTTGCAGTATAAAACTACTAAACTAGTAGTTTACTAAGACTATACTTCAAAGTGTACTAAAAATGCTACAAGTATTTAATTAGTAAACTATCAGTATACCTATAAGTTCACTTTTAGTATAGTTGCAGTACAAGCTAAAAATATTGTTGTAAACTAGTTTACTACTGTTATACTTAAAGTATACTTTTATATACTAGAAAGTGGGCCAATTTAGTCCCAAGGAGTATTGAAATAGTACACTTACAAGTATACTACTAGTACACTGATATTTGTATACTTGCTACATAAAGTATACTTAAAAATATACTTGAACTTTACTTAAGTATACTTAATAAAATAAACTTGAAGTATACTACTTTTTGGTAAGGGTACAAAGGAGGGTTACACCCGAATATATTCACACACATACCGTTTTTATTGATTTCTTTCATAAATTGCATTGACTGCTCTAAATTATGAGACACACCAATGTTTAGCACACATAATGTTTCTTTGATAACTGTTTTATTTCCTATTTGGGTTTGTGTATATGCTTTATTTTTTAAATTAACAGTTTTTTTCCCCAAGGCATTGTTAGATGCCAGTGTTTCCTGTCATAGCTATGCAAAGATTTGATTTCAAATTATATCTTGTTATGATTTTAAATATGTCCAAGTAAAAATACGTGCTAAAGTCTGATTTTGTGGTGGCTGTGCTTTAAAATAAATTATTATAATCTTAATTCAAGTGATGAAGGATTCTGAAAGTCTGACACTGTTGAGTACTACTGTAAGGTTAACACTGCCTGCTTTAAATGTTTGAAAATGATTAACAGTTTAGAAAAAAATTAGAAAAATGTATAATTTAATTGAAATAGTTACACTACTTACTACATTTTAAATAGGGCAACTTGTAATCTGTAACCTATTACATTTCCAAAGTAGCCTTCCCAACACTGAGAATATCATTTATGCCAGGGAGCAAGACAATAATGCACCTTTTGAACAGATTCACAGTTTTTACAGCTTTCTTATTAGAGGAGTCAGAAATCATTTTAAATCTTCAAGAAAAATGCAAAAAGAAGGGGGATTTTGCCTTGGATATGACGAGGTTCGGCGGCGGTGACGTGACGTCACTTCCGGGACGCGGTTCCGTTAGAAATGGACGACAGTCTTCAGCTGGCAGATGGTGGATTTACTAAAAATGTGAGTTGGATGCCTATGAAACTGTTTTCGAGGTTCGTGCCTCACTGTAATCAGTAGGACGCGTCGCGCAGACACGGAGCAGCTCACAGAAAGCCTCACGCGCCTGTTTGTTTCACGCTGCGATTGAAACTGCAGTACAGGAGTGTGTTGTGTGGGCTAAACAACTCTCACGCCATGCCAAATCAACTAGTCCTGCAGATCACTCCGCTGTAGTAAACGGGAACAGCGTGATCTAGTGCTGTTAGTATGGGCACTTGGTGTTTGTTTCTCTTCTGTCGCTTGTAAACAGAGGTGGCGCGTCATGTTGTCATAGCAACAGAGATGGCGTCTGCGGAGCACGCATAAACATTCAAATCCAATACTAATATTAAAGGGTTAATTCACCCAAAAATGAAAATTCGGTCATTAATTACTCACCCTCATGTCATATCAGTAGGACGCGTCGCGCAGACACGGAGCAGCTCACAGAAAGCCTGACGCGCGTGTTTGTTTCACGCTGCGATTGAAACTGCAGTACAGGAGTGTGTTGTGTGGGCTAAACAACTCTCACGCCGTGCCAAATCAACTAGTCCTGCAGATCACTCCGCTGTAGTAAACGGGAACAGCGTGTGCATCATCCTGTAAACAGCGTATGCTGTTCTGTGTCAGCTGCGTCACACGAATACACTGTTTCCGTTCAGATCAAATCACAACAGCGTAGGAAACAGATCCGGTGTGACGCAGCGGACACAGAACAGCATACGCTGTCGTGAACGAAGGTCTTACGGGTTTGAAACGACATGAGGGTGAACAAGCCCTTTAATATATTCCCATATTTACATCAGAAATTAAAGGTAGTACAACAAACACTGCCATTATGTATTAAAACTTTGCGTTTAAAATAATAAAATACTAATAAAATAATAAATACTAAATAACACTAGCTTCCCTAATCTTTTTGTATTCTATCTATTTGTATTCTTTTTATTTATTATACAATTAACAAAAGCAAAAAAGGCCTCTAACACTAGCTTGCTCTATTCTTTTTCTATTCTATCTGTTTTCTTTTTATTTATTATGTAAATTAAAAAAAATTAAAAAAACACTTGCTGACTGAGACTTACTTTAGCACTTGCTTATCATTGCTCTTTTTTAGGCTAACCGAGACTTGTCATTTGCACTTATATATTGTTGCTCTCTTGTTAGTTTTGATTGCTTTTATTGTCCTCATTTGTAAGTCGCTTTGGATAAAAGCATCTGCTAAATGACTAAATCTAAAATAATAATAATGAGGATAATGCCTTTAATACTTGTACAAATATTGTGATTGTTCTAAAAACAAGCTTCATTTTCTTTTTGCAAAATATAATTTCTTACTTCTTTCGTGTTAATTTTGGGACGGAGTATGAGCAGAATGTGTTGTTGCCAGGTTTTCACTATGATGATGATGATGATGATGTTGTTAGGTTGCCAGATCAGGCAGAAGAGCTCGTCCGGCCGCTGAGATGAACAGCACCGAAGACTCTCGTCAGAGGAAATCATCTTCATCAGTCAGTAACGCAGCGGTGGTCAGTCCTCATCTTACTGATGTATGTATCTGAGCCGAAGAGAAGAACATCGCGCTCCTTTTCGTTTAAGGGGACACCAGTGCTGATTAAGACATGACTAAAGGGGAAAATGTTTAGTAATAGTATATAGTACTAGTAATTTAAAGTGTTAGATGTGATATTTTGTGTCAAGTTTCAAATTCACACATAATATTTTTTTCTACTGAGCCAGATTAGTGTACATGTTTTTTTTGCATGCAAAAGAGCATTGAACAATGCTCAAACATCTGACGGGACACATGCATATGAGTAGACATGATGCTTCTGACAAATTTGCTTAGGTATGAATGTTTCAGAGTATGTCTTCATACAATCTGGTGACCGTAGTTGCATATGAATGGGGTGACTATGATATGTGCAGCTTTATGCATGCTTTACCAGGCCATGCAGTAAGATGTCACTTACATGGTAGATTATAGCATGCGGCACTTTTATAATAAGTAATAATAAATATGCTGAATGCATGCATAAATAACAATATATTTGTAACGGGGCTGACAAGACGTGAGACGTGCGGATCCATGTGCAAGCTTTTATTAAAGCAGAAGAGGTCAGAAACACAGGCAGGGTCGAACAATGGCAAACAGGTATGCATGCAAAAGAGCATAGAACAATGCTCAAACATCTGACGGGACACATGCATATGAATAGACATGATGCTTCTGACAAATTTGCTTAGGTATGAATGTTTCAGAGTATGTCTTGATACAATCTGGTGACCGTAGTTGCATATGAATGGGGTGACTATGAATATGTGCAACTTTATGCATGCTTTACCAGGCCATCCAGTAAGATGTCACTTACATGGTAGATTATAGCATGCGGCACTTTTATAATAAGTAATAATAAATATGCTGAATGCATGCATAAATAACAATATATTTGTAACGGGGCTGACAAGACGTGAGACGTGCGGATCCATGTGCAAGCTTTTATTAAAGCAGAAGAGGTCAGAAACACAGGCAGGGTCGAACAATGGCAAACAGGTATCTGGCGGGCACGACAAGAATAATCCTAGGGATAGCGAAGGTCAGCGATCGGCGAACAGAATCAAAAGGGCGAGACTAGAGGGGATAAATCCAGGAAAACAGGCAAAGATCAGAAACCGGGAAAACAGACAAGGCAAGACTAGGCTGGGCTGGGCTGGGCTGGGATGTGTCACAATACTTTGCAATACAAAATTGCAACAATATGTATCATGGATAGTTCAACAAAAAATATGGTAAATCCAGATGCTCACACATCGGAGCTTCCATGTTTATTAATTATTAATAAAATACAACATTTAAAATTTGTTACACAGAGTGCAAGCATATGTCTAACATAATTCTGTATATATTTCTATTCTGGTTAATGAACCATGCTTTTTGTTAAATGTTTATCACATGTCTTAGAAGTAATACTATAAAAACCCTTACCATCTGAACTCTGTTTGTTTAGAGTATTGTGAGAGTATCGTATCATGAGATCAGTGTATAAAACCGAATCGTGACATGAGTGTATTGAACACAGTGGTCTGTCATTCTTTTTTCTTTTATGTTTTGTTACCTCGTAGGGCTGTATTTTTTTTTAAATAGGGAAATCTCGTTTGTTGTACTGCTGAAGAACATGCAAAATAGACTTAAAACCAACATTGCGATATGATATTTTTATTTGCCATATATATTGTCAATTTTGAAGGTCTTAGTACATGGCTAATTAAGCGTGTGTGCAGTGTAAAGCCTGTTCTAAAGGCGAGTAACGCAGTATTAATGTTGTGAGCGCTGGTTTATTCTGGTGTGTGCTATTTTAAGCAGCTTTCACTCAGTGAACTTTCTCCCTTACACATTAACTAAGGATTGTTTGGGGCATATTTGCTGAGGTCTTGCAGCGTTACTGCAGGGCATCGGAATCCATGGCATGCCATCTTTGGTTAGTCCCCAAGAGCGCGGAGAGCCGTACATGAATTCTGCTCGGAATTCTAGCTATGCTTTTTTTTTCCTGTAAATTTTCCAAATTAGGCCCACTGAAGGCTCGTCAGTAGATCACACGTGCTCTGAAGTGAACTAACCCTGGAACAGAAGCTGCTCCGGAGCACGTTATCTTCAGAGAGCAAGTTACTATGGTTCCTTACATACCCTGAAAGTAACCTCCGATTTTGGAACCGAAAGCTGAGGTTATCCGCTCGCTTATCCTCAAACATACCCGGGTATGTCACATAACCCCGCTGGACACTCCTGCTTTAAATAATGTGTCAACAGTGAACCTGAGGATCTTGCTGCTGTGCAGCTGTGTACGTGGTCATGTTATCTGAGCATGTCATTTATTCTGAAGGTGTTCTTTTATTTAAAAGCCAGTAAAAATAACATATGACTCACTGCACTCTAACAGGTGATGACTTCAGGTCCAAGTAAAAAAAAAAATCTCTAATTTTTATTTATTTATTTATTTCGTTTTAATGGGCTATTCTGTTTCTATTCTAAGGCTTTTTAGTTTTATACTATGGAGCTGTTGAATGCTTGAATCTGAAGGTGTGCAATTATTTTCAGGGAAATGCACAGCGAAAGTAGTTCCAGGCAGGTCTTCACCGCATTACCGCTTTGTATCACTTGGCCAAATTATTTCAGTTACTTTAAAGGTCCTTACAGCTTATAACAGCAAAATAACCAAAATCCATAACTACACTGACCAAGCAAATAAATATAGTGAACAAATTATTTCCATATTTTTGCCACAAAATGACGTTTTATTATGTATGGCAAGCTCATACTCTCTTTCTCCCACTGTCTCTCTCCCACTCAAACGCACACACAGTGAGGTAAAGTTAGTTTTAGGTTTAATATTCGCTGCATATTCACCTAGGATGCTTCAGGGACCGTCTGCAAATTGACCCTGACAGTACAAAACAAAGTCCAGTAATTCATTCAATTAATGTTTACAGAGAATATAGTAAATACCTAGTGGGCAAACTGACTGAACATATTTGGCCAATATCACACCTTAGACAATACTTCCCCTAAGTATGTACAGTGCACAAATATTTTTTAGAAAACAAAATACAGTAATTCACAGAAACAAGGTTTTTCATGTTCCAAAGGTTGTAGTACATTGCTAGATACAAGACTGACTTACTACAGGTGAAAATTTGCCAATATCTCCCTTACTGTATGTACAGTTCACAAATATTTCAAAGTTTTTTTTTTCATGTTCCATAGGTTGTAGTGCATTCCTAGTGTCCAGACTGACTTACTACAGGTCAGATTTTCCCAGTACCTCCCTTCATATATACAGTACACAATTATTTTCATTAAAAAAGTAACTGTAAGTCCCCAAAAGTGTTTTTCCATGTTCCACAGTTGTAGTACGTTGCTAGATATAAGACTGACTTACAACAGGTGAGATTTTGCCAATACCTCCCTTACTGTAAGTGCAGTACACACATATTTTATACTGCAACCTTTGGAACATAAAAAAAAACTTTTGGGGACTTACAGTAATTTAATTTTTTAAATAATTGTGTACTGTACATATATGAAGGAAGATATTGGCAGAATCTCACCTGTAATAAGTCAGTCTTGTATTTAGGAATGCACTACAACCTTTGGAACGTGAAAAAAAAAACATTTGTAAATTACTGTAATTTTTTCAAGACATATTTGTGTACTGCACATACAGTGAGCCAGATATTGGCAAAATCTCACCTGTAGTTACGCAGTCTTTATGAACAACCTTTATGAACATGAAAAAAACCTTTTGGGAACTTACAGTAGTTTTTTATGAACATAATTGTATACTGTACATATATAAATGGAGGTATTGGCAAAATCTCACCTGTAGTAAATCACTATGAATAGTACAAGCTTTACAGTTATTTTTAATATCAAAAGTCATTTTAATTCAAATAAATTGGACATCCGGTGAATATCGAACCTAAAACTAACTTTACCGTGCTCAGACATACACTCACACACATGTCAGCGCTACTCTGACGATTTTATCAGTAAAATAGTTTAGCAACTACAAAGCTATGTGGCATTTCTCACTAGAGAGGTAATAACATGAACTTAACATGAAGAGGATGAACTTTCAGTTTCACTATTAGTAGAAACGCTGCTGCCGAACACTGACGAGAGACGCACAGAATCAGGTAATTCACACACACTTAATCTCTCTCTATCTATCTATCTATCTATCTATCTCTCTCTCTCTCTCTCTCCCTCTCTCTCTCTTTCTAATAACTTCATTAATAGCTGCATTTGTCTGCTATCAACAGCTCAAGCCTTTGTTACTATAGGTCTAAAATAACGTTTTGGAATTAGCAATGGAGGCTTGGGATGAGATGCGTAAGAAATTAATCCTACACACAAGAGCGTTTTAAGTACAAAAACCTGACAAATTTCTAGAAATACATCATCTGTACAATGTCTTGAGGTGTGGTAGCCGTAGTATAAACGGTCCGTTGAATTAATAGAAAATAATGCACACCTGAGGTGTAGCATCACCACCTCAGGTGTGCATTATTTTCTAATAATTCAATGGCCCATCGTCAATCGTTCCTTACTTATTCCACTCTCTGCCTGAATGCTAAATTGATTCACACGTCTTCAGTCAGAGCTGGGTAGTAACTGATTAATTGTAATCTGGATTATGTAATCAGATTGCAAAAATTAAGTACTTATAATTAGAGTATATTACATTTTGAATGTTATACACATTTATACGCATTTTCAATGCTCCTAATCAGATTACAGTTATTTTTTACATGATTACATCTTATTCACACTATGGCAGTAAATTATTGATAATTTTATTGATTCTCCCTATTTCTTACTTTTTCTCTTTTATATTGTCCTTTCTAAAAACCCTACTGTTCTGTACCATTCAGCTTGGACTACATTAACAAATGTTGTGTAAATAAATTTGCAAGCGATGCTTCTGAATTTGAGGGAAAATAGCACCTCTCAATCAATCAGGCCATGTATGAAACAGATAATTACACAAGTTACTGGTGATGTATTGCTGTGAAACACTGTGTCATCATCATAATCAGTGTCCTTCAGTAACTGTTGATTCTGGAAGTCTGAACAGAAATATTTCAAACCCGGAAGGCTTTGGGCATGTAATGTCATTGATGTTTTGATGTTTATTAATGTTTGTTCGTATAATGCAGGGATTTTTGTCAACCAAACCCCTTAAAATAAAATATTTACTTGAAATATCTCTGAGGAAGGTAATATGGTCACATTAGCTAAACAAATAGAATATTTATATTTTTACAAATGGCCCTGCTGAAGGAACCCAGGAATGGACGTTTATTTGCTCTGCTGTGTTTTTTTTTAAGTTGAAAGTAACAGAATTCCTGCAGGCCTCTGGGTTATTTGCAGACCCAATTTGGTAATGAGAAATGCGTCTTTTTCAAGTGCATTTGCGGGTTGCCCACCCTTGTTGTGCCCCGAGGAATTCTGTCATTTTAAAGCTGGACCGTTATTCAGCCGCTCACAGAACCGCCGTCGTAACCCAATTGACTAATTTGAGAATGAAAGAATGAGAGGGAGATGGGTGGGTTTTTTCCCCTGTGAAGCTATTTTGGGTCATGCCTGGCCAGAGCAGTTCCCACACTTACATACCGCTCAGACCCCTTCAGCGCTCTCCCAGTGTCCTGCACATATTATATTGTTATGAAATATAACTATATTATGTCCAACTCTTTATATAATGTTATAAGTATATCCAATTTTATCCGTGTACATACAGTAGACTCACGTAGAGTGATATATAAACTTTATAGTAAATCTCAACTGCTTGATTGCTTGTACAATTACACAATGAAAACTATATTATCGCCCAGCTCTAATCTGCTAAATGCCACTGTAAGGCATAAAGATATTAAGACATCATGAACAATCCTAAGAAAAGTATGTAAAATATGAAACAGTGTGCTGTTAATATAAAGGAATTTCCCATATCATGTTTTTCACAGGTGTTTCAGCTGTATTTCAAATTACGCAGTGTTTTAGGGTTAAGGGAAATGTCTGTAAACTTAAAGGGATATGATGTTTATTAATGTTTGTTCGTATAATGCAGGGATTTTTGTCAACCAAACCCCTTAAAATAAAATATTTACTTGAAATATCTCTGAGGAAGGTAATATGGTCACATTAGCTAAACGAATAGAACATTTATATTTTTACAAATGGCCCTGCTGAAGGAACCCAGGAACGGACGTTTATTTGCTCTGCTGTGTTTTTTTTTTAAGTTGAAAGTAACAGAATTCCTGCAGGCCTCTGGGTTATTTGCAGACCCAATTTGGTAATGAGAAATGCGTCTTTTTCAAGTGCATTTGCGGGTTGCCCACCCTTGTTGTGCCCCGAGGAATTCTGTCATTTTAAAGCTGGACCGTTATTCAGCCGCTCACAGAACCGCCGTCGTAACCCAATTGACTAATTTGAGAATGAAAGAATGAGAGGGAGATGGGTGGGTTTTTTCCCCTGTGAAGCTATTTTGGGTCATGCCTGGCCAGAGCAGTTCCCACACTTACATACCGCTCAGACCCCTTCAGCGCTCTCCCAGTGTCCTGCACATATTATATTGTTGTGAAATATAACTATATTATGTCCAACTCTTTATATAATGTTATAAGTATATCCAATTTTATCCGTGTACATACAGTAGACTCACGTAGAGTGATATATAAACTTTATAGTAAATCTCAACTGCTTGATTGCTTGTACAATTACACAATGAAAACTATATTATCGCCCAGCTCTAATCTGCTAAATGCCACTGTAAGGCATAAAGATATTAAGACATCATGAACAATCCTAAGAAAAGTATGTAAAATATGAAACAGTGTGCTGTTAATATAAAGGAATTTCCCATATCATGTTTTTCACAGGTGTTTCAGCTGTATTTCAAATTACGCAGTGTTTTAGGGTTAAGGGAAATGTCTGTAAACTTAAAGGGATAGTTCACTTCAGTAGAACAGTAAAGAAGATTTTTAGCTGAAACCGTGGTCCTTGGTGATTCATAAAATCCAAGTCAGTGGCACTTGAGAGTCAACAAAAGCAGAGACAGGCAACATATATTAATATCTGTGGCTCCGGACGATATTGAGGTCTTATGAAGCGAAATGATCAGTCTGTGCAAGAAACTTAACATTATTTTACAACATTACTCTCTGTCCCTGTAAAGCCCAAAGTATACTTCATGTTTTTGTTGTTGTTGTTTTAAGCATATGTGTACAGTCGAACGGTAGCCTTTCAAGCATACTCTGAACGCAGGCGGTCCACACCTGTGCTCTAGAAAGTCTCATCTTGATTCAGTGTCTGCACTGTTTTTCTCCAGAAGTTATGGCTAATAAAGATGTTTTTGTATTCTTTTAGAATACATTGCAGCTATCTCATGCCCTCTCACACATGCGCTTGTCAATGCGGGCATCTGTTGTTGCTGCAGTCTCTGGTATTTTGCTGTTCTTCCATTTCTTTAGTTTTGTTTTCTACTGTCAGACAACGTCCTGGGACAGTGTTGCCACCTTGTTTTAAGCATATGTGTACAGTCGAACGGTAGCCTTTCAAGCATACTCTGAATGCAGGCGGTCCACACCTGTGCTCTAGAAAGTCTCATCTTGATTCAGTGTCTGCACTGTTTTTCTCCAGAAGTTATGGCTAATAAAGATGTTTTTGTATTCTTTTAGAATACATTGCAGCTATCTCATGCCCTCTCACACATGCGCTTGTCAATGCGGGCATCTGTTGTTGCTGCAGTCTCTGGTATTTTGCTGTTCTTCCATTTCTTTAGTTTTGTTTTCTACTGTCAGACAACGTCCTGGGACAGTGTTGCCACCTTGTGGAACAACTAATTAGTGCAAAACAAATTGTGCAACAATCTGGAGGTGCGCATACATACAGAAATGTGTGCCATACACACTGTACACAGACCCCCGCGTATGCATAAAAACCGCAGTGTACTTTGGGCTTAACGTATGGAAAATTGCATTTAAAAAATCAGTAGACATCTGATTGGTAGCACACACCAGTCTTTTGTTGATCTTTAAAGGTCCCCTGAAATGCTTAGAAACACACAGCGTTACTCTGTGTGTTGACGTCATTTTAACTGAAACAGGAAGACAGGGCGGGACATATCAAGCAGCCCCGCCCCTTTTTAAAATAGCCAATAGCGTTTGTTTATATCACAGCTTGGACTAGAGCCGTTCTGAGCCGTTGAGCTCCGTAAAGCCACATTTGACAGGGTATGCCAGCCACAATCTCATCCATATTGCTATAAAATATAGCATTCTGTGTAGAATTAAAATAGCTCCGATACATTTTGTGGTCTGCGCCGACTCGCGCATGTGATCCGCTCCGTGCTATCGTGTCTCTGGACCGGAGCAGAGTGTGTGTGAGGTGCGGTGGTTAGCGTGACACAGCGCAAAACCAGACTTCTTTTTTTCCTCAATGGAAAGCATATTTACACTGTTTGAATCGTTCCCTGTCCCCTATATAGTGCACTACGTGCCATTCACTGTACAGAAAATACTAATTCAAGTGACCGATTTCAGCCGCGGCTTCAGCGTCTATTTTATAGTGTAGGGGGCGGGCGCTTCGGATTCTAGAGAGCATTTGATTGGACAAAGTTTGATGAGAAGCTGAAGTACGATGTGACGTCAAAAAAAAAATCGTTGAGCCATTTTGGCGGAAGTGACGAACTGCAAGCTTTCAATGCTTCTATCTTCTAAATGCGAATTTTGTCACCGTTTTGGAGCACACTGCCTTATAGATAACCTTAAGACTAACATATTGATACTAACACCCAAAAAACTTTAATTTGAATTTATAGGGACTTTAAGCTGTTGTTTCAGGAAACAGTTAATACTTTATTAGTAAACTATGATTTTGGTCATACCTGAAATATTAGTACATGTACCTTTGAGAGTCTGAGTTAATGATGTGAAGACGCGCACAGCTGATTCAATGCTTTTGCTGTGGATGTGTTTGATCTCAGGGACCTCCACCGAAGCCGGCGCGTCGGCAGGCAGGATGGGCGGAGGAGAGCACCGGGTCCGGATCTGCCAAGTGAGTCGACGCCTCTCGGTTTCTGTCTCCCTCTCAACGTCTTTCTGAGATACATGCATGTTCTTCAGCTTTTCTGAAAGCCCACACTGTTCTGTCCTACATGCAAATGAACACACATCACGCACACCATGCACAGTCAATTAAATGCAAAGACTAGAAAGTTACACACACCATCTGTACTTGCTCTCATCATGGTTTTCTTCATTTTTGTCATGTGTGTTCTTTGCTTTATTTCTTTTCATCAGTGTTAATATCCTCTTATCTCCACTCTTTTCTATTTGATCTAATTTCTTATTTAGGTTTTTCATCTCACTTAACAGAATAAATTACATAACTATAGTAAATCAAATGCTTGAGCAATGTTCATGATGATGAATTTTGTAGAGAGTGGAGGAGTAAACTGTTTTTGGAGTAATGTCTTTTTCATTGTCATGTACAGCAAATTATATTGAATCAATTATATATATATATATATACAGTACTGGTCAAAAGTTTGGGATCAGAACGATTTTTAATGTTTTTACAGGAGTTTCTTCTGCTCATCAAGGCTGCATTTATTTGATCAAAAATACAGGAAAAAAAGTAATATTGTGAAATGTTATTATGATGTATAATAACGTTTTTCTATTTTAATATACATTCAAATGTAATTTATTTCTGTGATGCGCAGCTGTATTTTCAGCATCATTACTCCAGTCTTCAGTGTCACGTGATCGTCAGAAATCAGTATAATATGCTGATTTATTATCAGTGTTGAAAACTGTTGCTGATTCATATTGTTTTGGAACCTGTGATGCTTTTTTTCAGGATTATTTGATGAATAAAATGTTAAAAAGAAGAGCATGTATTTAAAATAGAAATCTTTTCTAACAATATACACTACAGTTCAGAAGCTTGCTGATCCCAAACTTTTGAACGGCAGTGTATATATATCTATATCTACACTACACTCTAAAAACTGCTGGGTTAACCCAATTTGGGTTATATATGTTTGACCCAGTGCTGGGTTGCTTTTTTATGGTTTAAAATTACTACACTGCTAGGCTAAAATGAAGCCAAATCGAGTTAGACATTAAACCTACAAATCTTGTTCATTTTAAAATCACTTTTACACACACAGGATGACTATCAAAAGGTAAATATTTATTAAAAACAAGAAGAGAAAACAGTCAAAAGTAACATGCATGTAAGAAGAAACGCAGAAAAGTATGGCATTAACAGCTTATTCATATATAAATATTGGCATGGATTACTTCTACGATAACTCTGTATTTTTGAAGCTTGAAAATACTGATTATCTAGACTCTCAATGGATTAACAAAAAATTATGAGTGAGAAACATTTATTTTCTAAAAATAACTCGCATCAATCTCAATAGAATGATGCTCTCCTATGCCTCTGGCTTTCAACATCTACAAAAACAAACATTCGTTTACTCTTAGTAAAAAATAAATTATAGCATGATGGAATTCTGAAGTTTACTTGCCTTAAACCGTCTTTCCCTCTCTTCTGAAGAAGCTGAGAAAATCACCTCCTCACACAAGCAGGGTTCTGTGTCGTTAACTCCTGGCCGCGGGCACAATGAAGAAACAAAGCTCAACAAGTCTGAAATATAACATGCAAAACATTACTTTTAACAATTATCACTTCATCAGCCTCAAAATAATTAGGTTAGTCTTTATTACATAACGCCGTTTCCGTTAGGAGTCCGTAAATTTTTATTCTTTCTTTTTTTTTAAAGAAATTAACTTTTATTCAGCAAGGATGCGTTACATTTTTAAGAAGTGATAGCAAAGATTTATATTGTTAGAAAAGACGAATCCAGCATCAGTGCTATAGGGTTTGTTCTGGACCCCCAGAATCGCATTAGCTGTGGCCCCGCTGCAATGAGGGTCAGTCACCACATGATGGCGTCACCTCCTGTTAAATGAGTTTTACTGGACCGACCAGAAGGATTATTATGATCACTCTTTCTGCCAGTGTTTATTTCAGTAATTCACATGTGATCTCTAATGTAAGAAAACAGAAACACCAATGTCTCAATATGACGTTTGTGATGAGTATGCACATATTCATCATTATGAATCAGTTCAATCCAGCTACGAATTCTGAACGTATACTCTGAAGTCTGCCGTGCATTCATATTCTGAACACAATTTCTGTGCATGCTGAGAGCAGCATTTACCAAAACAGTGAAAAATCCTGTTAATCCTATCAGAGAAAACAACACAATCATCTGTATAAAGAAAAGCGCTAAATGTATTTAACAAAACAGAAAGCAGCAGTCAGCAGGGTAGTGAAAACATTGCATACGGTGCTGCTGAGATCCTCTCTGTTTGTTGAGATCCTGTTGTTGTTGTTTTTCGACTTCATATTCTTCTTATGACACATTCATCTTCATGCTAAGTACATGATAAAACCACTATATACACTACTGATCAGAAGTTTATGGTGGGTAAGGTTTTTGAATGTTTTTGAAAGAAATTTCTTCTCACCAAGGCTGCATTTATTTGATCAAAAATACAGTAAAAACAGTAATAGTGTGAAATATTATTGCAATTTAAAATAGCTGTTTTCTATGTGAATATCTGTTAAACTGTAATGTATTTCTGTGATGCACAGCTGTATTTTCAGCATCATTACTCCAGTCTTCAGTGTCACATGATCTTCAGAAATCATTCTAATATGCTGATCTGCAGCTCAAGAAACATTTCTGATTATTATCAATGTTGAAATTATATGTTAATATACCAAAGTTAATATGGTAGTTTTTACTGTATATGAAAACACAGGTGGTCAATAAAACGACAAGTTCATCACAAGTAGCATTTCCACAAGCTGACTATACTAATAATCACATGACCTCATCACACTTGTCCAGTTATCAACTTAGAAATTGTTATTTTGAAAATAGTAGACATACTGTATGCTGGAGATATGTTAGTATGTTAACACGGCTTTGGCTCAGTTAGTGGGGATTGAAGCAAACTCTACACGTCTCTCAGGAAAGGTCAAAGTGTCGCTTCTGCGCGTCTGCCAAACTTATCTTGATTCTCTCGGCTGGGAGGTGTTAAAGGGCTTCTCGACGCATTGATTCTCCTTCTGAAACAAAGTAATCGTCCCCTCTGAAGAAGACGAGGACTTTTTCTTCATCTCAATGTCACCCCTCGTGCTCAATCACCGGTGCTCTGTTCCCGCTAATCCCACAGCAGAAATCCCGGGATTTGCAGATCTATCACTCCTAATTGACACTAAATGATCTGTCAGGTTATTGATGAAGCTTAGTTGTCACCATATATTTTATCCTGAACAACTTTTTCCAGACCGTGTTTATTGCACTGCGTTACACGGGTCTTAATGGAGAGCGCTGTAATGAGTCTTAAACAGCAGACGTGTTACTATGTTACTCTTTACACATTACTTTATTACCCTTTAATGCTCCTAAGTTTACAAAAGCTCAATTTGACACAGAAATGCAGTATCCAAGCTTTTGGGAATCTCTGAATGCACTGTAGCTTCAGGATATCAATGCATTTTAAAAGTATATTTGATCCTTTAATTGTTTATTGTCTTAGGGTTAGCATAAAACACTGGCTTGGATGCTTTGATTATGTTAGAGATTTGAGATGCACATTGCTGTCAGGATCCATTAGGTGGCGCTCAACACCAGCAGAAACCCAGCCTGTATCTCACGTTAACCCTGTAAAGACTGGTTTATGGAATAATAGTCCGAAAAATCGAATTCTTTGAAATGGAACATTTTGTTGAACCTTTAGACTAAAAAAAAATCTAAAACAAATAGTCTGCATATGTGTTTTTGTTGAGTATCATTTTTGATGCATCAGGCTTTTACGACTCTGTAATAGAGAGAATATGGAGAAAAAACAGCTCAGTTTAATTCAGAGACTCAAACTAAGCAAAAATATGTAATTTGGTGCAGATGCTGATATTTATATGATGGAATTCTGATGCTTGTGATTTTAAATCAATGAGATGTTTATTACAGTTCAGCAGATACTGACATAAAATGATATAAATACCAGTCATCGCTCTATATCTCCAGTAACATGTCTCAGTGAGATGAGATGTAAATGCTCCAAACATATAATGCAGTGATTGAGAGCTGAAGAAATAAAGGCTCCTCAGAAGATGTGAGATGTTCTGGAGGCTTGTGAAGATCATTCCTCCGCTGAGGAACAGTGAAAGTAAAGCTTCTGGAAACAAACGCTCCTCAAAAGATCCTGAGGATCAGATTTGAGACTCTAAAACATGATTGATGGAGAATCAAGTAAAGCTGAGCTGCTTCAGTCCAGTAAGTGTTCATCTGGAGATATTACTGCAGTTATTCTGACCTTTACTTGATCCAAATCAGTCAAGATTTGACAGCAGAAAGACTCGTGAAGCGTTTGTACAATTACACTAACAGAGCTTTGACTGGATAAAAAACTCTAAACTATCAATCAGAGACAGAAGACATGAGGAGATTGTGTGTGAAACTGGTTTAACAGCAAAGTTTGATCATGTTGATCATTTAGAGACATTAGAAATGTGTGTATCAAACATGATACAGCAGCTTTACAGGGTTAATGCTGCAATAACGAGCCTATTATATTTTCTTCAACTTTCCTCTCTATTTAAACAATGTGCAAATGATTATTCACCACATTAAAGTTTTTCAAATCAAATGTCATTAATTAATGCTCCCAGTGTGTTGTGTATGAGAGAGCGCGTTACAGCAGACATCAGACTGAGCAGACGAGCTGTGATCGTGATGCTGATTGTTGATTTGTGATGTCCTCCACAGGTCTGGACGCCGGCCGGCCGCAGAAGAGCTGGAGGAGTGAGTTTACACCTTTACTGTTTCACTTTGACACGCAGTGATTAGGAGCTGAAATCTCAAGAAACGGGAATGTTTGTTTATGCTCTTGATTTAAGGAGGAAATTACCCTCGTGCTGAATTTGTCCTTGGTTAATGTGAGAACAATCACTCTGATTAAACGACGTGATGGTGGAGTTTACATATGTGACGCTGGACCACAAAACCAGTCTTAACTGCCAATTTTTTATTGAATAAATAATATTTCCATTGATGTATGGTTTGTTAGGATAGGACAATATTTGGCCGAGATACAACTATTTGAAAATCTGGAATCTGAGGGTGCAAAAAAATCCAAATATTGAGAAAATCATCTTTAAAGTTGTCCAAATTAAGTTCTTAGCAATGCATATTACTAATCAAAAATTAAGTTTTGATATATTTACGGTAGGACATTTACAAAATATCTTCATGGAACATGATCTTTACTTAATATCCTAATGATTTTTGGCATAAAAGAAAAATCTATAATTTTGACCCATACAATGTATTGTTGGCTATTGCTACAAATATACCCCAGCGACTTAACACTGCTTTTGTGCTCCAGGGTCACATTTATAACCTGCGGTTAGTAGGCCTGTCGCAATAATCAATATATCGACTTATCGCACAATATATGTACATGACCTCAATAATTTTTAGTTACGCAAAGTTAGTTGCCCATTATATTTACTTAAAAATTAATGTCACCATGTTTTGTACATTCCACTTGCGCCTGTGTCTTTTGCAGCTTCTCGTACATAACGTGAATTAAAAGTTTGTTGTCATTTGGAAGTGTGTAGGCCTTCTTGCATTATTATGCTGTTACATTATGATTATATATTCAGTGGCATAAAATGGTCTTTAAAATGACAATAATATCGCTTATTGCAATTATTTCTGGGGCAATATATCGCACAACAAAAAGTTGTTATCGTGACAGGCCTAGCGGTTAGGGACTAGATCACTAGCGTCGTCACCACTAGGACTGCACAGTATATAATCATCATATATTCATAGCGATTTTGCTGAACATTATGATTATCAACTATGATTTTAATGCAAATTTTATTTGTTCATTAATTTTCCTAAAGATTGCCACATTACACTAGTTACACCTTGTCTTGTGACTGGCAGGTATAAACATGTTGCCAACACTTTCCATTCGTTAACATTAATTAATGCAGTTGCTAACATGTCATGAACTTTCAATGAGAAATATATTTATTAATCTTTGTTAATGCTAGTAAATAAATGTAGTATTCTTCATTTTTTGTTATGGAAGCTTGTTTTTGCCATGGAATAAAAAATAAAGATACCTTTTATCTTAAAATTCTGATTCTTATTCTTGCAATTCTGAGTTTATATCTTAAATTTTTGACTCTTTTCCTCAAAATTCTTTTTTTCCCCTTAGTTTACATCTTGCAATTCTGTTTTTTTTCCCACTGCCACAGACTAAAATATAAAAAAGGTAATTGCAACTCATCTAAATTTTTTTCTTGCAATTGCGAGTTTATGTCTTGCAATTCTACGTTTTTTACCTCAGAATTGAAAGAAAAACGTCAGAATCGTGAGATAAAAAGTTGCAAGTACCTTTTTTATTTTTTTCATCCCATGCCAGAAACAAGCTTCCATAGTTTATTCACGTTAGCTCACAGTGCATTAACTAATGTTAACACATACTTTTGATTTTGAAAATGTATTAGTACTGTAGAACTATTGTTTACTGGTGTAGTTAACTAATGCTAACAAATGAAAACTTATTGTAAAGTGTTTCCAAAATGTTAAATGTAAAGTATTTAATGTCTGCACCATTACCAGGACCAAATGCTGCAAACCAAATACAAAATAATAATTATTCTCACACAGGTTTCCTCAACACTCCCATCACATTTGCTTTTCTTTTTGCAATTGCTATTTTGGCTACAATGGCTGTTTGGTTAAAAGGATGGATCTTCTGATTGATAAATAAGCCATTAGTAAATGTGTAAATATGGAGGAATGTGTTTTTAGCTATATCTCACCATCGTTTTACTCATGGATGGAGTATTTGTCTCTGATCTCTTGTGTTTAACATGACGTCTGTCCCTGTGTCCGAAGCCGGCGACTGAGGCCACAAACCCCCGAGGCCTCCGACAATGAAAGTGGTGAGTAGATGATTCCCACAAGCTCTGTTTCAAACACATTTACTCTATTTAACCAGACAGCAGCTCTGCAGCTTATGAAATTCTGGAAATAATGGCTGCTGATTTATTGTACGGCATTCCAGAAGGGTGCTGGATAAAGCAGCTCATTCAGTGAGAGTCCAGCTGCTGTGATTGATAAATTATATTAATTCATAAACATTACTTCATGACAAACACACTTACACTAGGCTTAAAAGACCTGATGGCTTGAGGCTCAGAAACGTGTGATCTTCAGGCCGTATGTTTCTGTCACTCACACTCACAAACAAAAATAAAAAGACCTTAAATAATAAAAAAAATACAATAATTTTTGAAAATCAAGAGATTATGCAGAAATAACGTACTGGATACAGCTACCAGAATATTCATTAAATGACATTCAAATACATCAGTATACATATACAAGCTATTATATTTATACTGTTGAAGCGTCCCAAAAAAAAGAAAACTAGGAGTATTTGATAACAGAAATTGTTTGATTGTTAGTTTTAGGAATTAAAGTCCAGATATCGATGTTGGTAGTGTAATTAAATAAACAGTGTGTATTATTTTCCGTGTTACCTGCAGCAAGATATTCCTGTTTAACTGTCTGCAAAAGTCTAGCAGACGACGCGTTTTACTTTTGACCGCTTCAGGGCTTTTGTGAAAACTACAGATCGTACTTCCGCATTTTTGTATTCCCATTCACAGATGGTCTAATCAAGCCCAGTGCATCATGGGTGTTGAAGTTCTGCCACCTTTTTTCACCATAGCCCTTCTCTGTTTTCTCTAGTCGTGTAACACTGATTTAAAAACATCACATTTCTACTGCATAGACAGAAAAGTTTTATTAAAACTCCATCTTGTCAGCGGTGAATTATCCTTTTAAATCTTCACAAAAGGGAATTACTGCTCAAAAACCTTACAAAAAATGGGAATTGTACACATTCGCCATTTGTGCTTTTGAAGACTCTTGAAAGAGACTCTGAAAGACTCTTAAAGAGAAATGTGACGACAGCAAACATAGGGAGTCAGTTTCCGAAATATTAGGCCGAACCAGTTTGAATGGTCAGCACTGACAGGTCAAGACATACTTTAGTGTCGTCATCATACACACACATCTCACACATCACAGCTCTCATCTGTTTCCAGGGTTATTATGATGACTTAAAACAAGAATTAAAAAAAATTGAAATGAAATAAAATAAAATAAGCTTATTTCACATAGTTGCCAAGATTTCTAATTTTCATTTAGTTTAAGTTGAAGTACTAAAATAATAAAAAATAAACTAACTAAATAAAAATATTTTTGGCATAAAAGAAAAATCTATAATTTTGACCCATACAATGTATTGTTGGCTATTGCTACAAATATACCCCAGCGACTTAACACTGCTTTTGTGCTCCAGGGTCACAAATGCTCTGTTTTACCAAGCATTAATTAAACCGTTATTGGTTGTCAGAAGCAAACATATGGATCTCTGAACTTGACATCATGAGCTCAAACACTCAACCTTCTTTACTGTTTCGTGGAAAAGTTGCTTCAACTCATGAATAAATCAGAAAATAGCATCATCTTGTAGAGCCGTGACACATGACTTTTTGATAGAATCAGCATCAAAAAGCGGTTTCTGGTACACATCATTGTCGATTCCCTCTCGACCTCGTGTTACAGGTCGCATCTCGACCTCATTTAAAAAAACGTTGTTTTCTCTCGCCGCTTAATCATGGCGTTTGCATACCGAGAGCTTTACCTCGCCGCGCTTCACATTGACCTCTGGCCCATTTGTGTCGATGGTGCATTATTCGGAAAAGTTGAGATCCAGTAGAGCGTTAGCGAAGGCTAGACTTAGAGGCTTTTTGATGTCATTGCACTAAGACCATTAAATTTGACTGGGGGTCCGCGGGGGCCCGAATCTGCTGAACGCACTGCTTTAGAAATGAGGAGACGGTGTCACCTCGCGCTCATGAATATGAAGCAGCTCTCATGCACGCCTGCATTTATTTGTATATCAGGAACACAGATGAATCTTGTCAGTGACTAAACGAGGCTGGCATTTTTAATTAGCTTTAATTAAAAATGAGAGAAAAGGAAGAAGTTATCAATGTAGGATAACGGGGCTTGTTACGAGGGTCAGGGAGATGGAACTGAACGTGGCTTTTGTGACAGGATTCAGAAAGTCTGAGAGAGAATGAAAAATTACTTCAAAATGACCACGTTCATCTCCTTGAGACTTTAAGGAGGAACATTTTTGGGCATCTAGGCTGCTTCATAAGATACTAAGGCAACTTTGAGTGTATCATTTGTGGAGATCACTATCAACTATTCAATAAAATTGTTCAATGTAATGAAAAATACTGTTTTACACATGCTATTGTTCAAAATTTATATATTTTTTATTGAAAGAAGTGTCATCTTCTCACAAAGGCTGAATTAATTTGATCAAAAATACGGTAAATACAGTAATATTGTGAAATATTATTACAGTTTAAAACAGCTGTTTTCTATGTGAATATCTGTTAAACTGTAATGTATTTCTGTGATGCGCAGCTGTATTTTCAGCATCATTACTCCAGTCTTCAGTGTCACATGATCTTCAGAAATCATTCTAATATGCTGATTTGCTGCTCAAGAAACATTTCTGATTATTATCAATGTTGAAAACAGTTGTGCTGCACAATATTTTTTTGGAAACTGTGATACATTTAATTTTTTTTAGAAATAATTTATAACATTATAAATGACTTTACTGTCACTTTTGATCAATTTAATGCATCCTTGTTGAATAAAACTATTAATTTTTTATTTTTTTTAAAGTCTTACTTTATAGTAAGTGACGATTTGTGTTAAATATTTTTCAAATTGTCTCCAAATATGAATGCATTTAGACATACATGAATCAAAGTTTCATGCATTTCTAGTTATTTGAATGCACAATGATTTTTAGGCTGGTTTACACTGTACTGGAGTTTGTCACTGCTTCCCACATTCTACAGCTCCATAAACAGATTGAACGTTCAGTCAGTGCAGTGTGAGCTAGCCTTAAGAGTTATATAATGTAACTCATTTTTTGACATTTAAAAAAAAATGTGAATGGGGTTTGCCTATTAATGCAAAATGTTGTGCTGGGGCCGTGAGAATGTTGGTTTGCAGTTGTTAGCTTGTTTGCTGTGTGGTCACTAGGGTATTCAGAGCGGTTGCTAGGGGGCTCTTTTCTGGCTTTACGTCTCTGTGATCATCTGGTCTGTAGATTCTTTCAGTGTGTGTCCGTGAGATTTTTCAGCTGTTTTCTGATCCAGCAGGTGTAAACGGTGATCACTTAGTAAACTAGAAACACACTCTCCTCTTCAACATGATTTGAGGAATCATTCGTGTCTGGAGCACAAACACATTCAGCTTTAGTACTCAGTTTTAGAGGTTTCAGCACATCAGCGCTAGTACTTGGTGAACAACACTAATTCACATTTCCATTATTAGATTATTAATGAAAGTTTTTACAACCGATATGTTTCAACACTGTTTGAATGTAAAGGGAATGTTTTAAGCACTTTTAGCCCTTTAAAACCTACTGTTTCATATTTGATAAGCCACTTAAGGTCTCTAAATGATGAACATGGACTGGACTGAAGCAGCTCGGCTTTACTTGATTATCCAGACATCATTTTTTAGAGTCTCAAATATGATCTTCAGGCTTTTGAGGAACGATTGTTGTTTCATCTCTCAATCATCACTGGATTGCAGTGCATTATATGTTTGGATCATTTAAATGTCATCTTACTAAGTGGAGATATAGAGTGACGATTGATATTTATATCATTTTATGTCAGTATTTGCTATACTGTTGTAAAGATCTCATTGATTTACATTATCATGAGAAGTTCATCTTACTTTTTGGCAATCATATTTTTGCTCAGTTTTTTGAATCTCTGAATAAAGTGTTCAGGCTTTACAGGGTTAATCAGTGTGAAACTGCATTTGCATCTGAGTGACATTTTATACATCTGTGCTCTAAGAAAATGTTTAGCAGAATGTCAGAGCTGCTCGTTTCCATACAATTAAGTTGGTTCATCTCTCAATCATCACTGGATTGCATTGCATTATATGTTTGGATCATTTAAATGTCATCTTACTAAATGGAGATATAGAGTGACGATTGATATTTATATCATTTTATGTCAGTATTTGCTATACTGTTGTAAAGATCTCATTGATTTACATTATCATGAGAAGTTCATCTTACTTTTTGGCAATCATATTTTTGCTCAGTTTTTTGAATCTCTGAATAAAGTGTTCAGGCTTTACAGGGTTAATCAGTGTGAAACTGCATTTGCATCTGAGTGACATTTTATACATCTGTGCTCTAAGAAAATGTTTAGCAGAATGTCAGAGCTGCTCGTTTCCATACAATTAAAAGTGAACTGTTCCTTTACATAATGTAATAATGTTTGTTAACGACTTAGTATCCATGAAAAGTCAAAGTTATTTAAAAAAAATAAAAGTGTTAGCCACTTTGTTCAGTACAGAATGTAAAGTGACTGCAAGTTTGTTTTTATAGTTATTATTCCAGTCGTGTCGGTTTTGAGCTGTTCAGCTTTGAGTGGTGAATGTGACAAAAGTTTTGTTCATGTTTTATTTATCAGCCTCTGGTTTTATTAACAAAGCTTTTCTTTTACTTTCTTAACACTGTCAGACTGTGTTTGACGGTGATTTTGTAATTGTGCGCTCTCATGGCACACCTGAACGCACTCCAGCAGAAGTCTGTCCAAAAAGAGGAGAAGGGCTGTGAAAGTTTGTCCTTCTTTGGGAGCGATGCCACACTCTGTCCTGTCGAGTTTTGCCAATTAAAGCGGGTTCCCACTGTTCCGGGCAGCGGGCACGTGGTTCTTGGCACCGCGGCTCCTGCCAGGGCGCGCCGTGACTTCCGACCCCTCACAGATGGGCTCGCAGGCAGGCCTGCGCTCCTGGAGCCCGGCCCGAATGGACACGGAGGTCGCCGCTCTGGCCTGAAGGGTCCTGAGGGTGGGCGCCGCTGACAGGGCCCAAATGCTCAGCGCCGGGACGAGCGCGAGTGTGTGTCGGGGTGGGGGGGTGCTTTCTGGGGAGCCCCTGGCCGGAGCGCCACCTCACAGCGGGAAGAGATACTGTTTTGATCACTGAATATTCATGGCCGCCTGGTCGCCGTGACAGGGGGCAGCGCGGAAGAGGATGTCAGCGCGAGAGTGAGAGAAACACAGAGAGGGAGGAAATCAAACGCCAGTTCACACACAATATAAACAGAGCCGCGCCGAGGAGACAGACAGCATCTGTGATGATTGCGGGGATTGTGGGAAATGCTGCAACTCGCTGTAACACCCGCAGTAGCTGCAGCATATGGCCGAGTGCGTCTTGAGAAAAAACTTCATACCGCTCACATGGTTGGTTTAAATCCATAATCAGGCCCCAAGACCGAAAAACACTAGCTTTGGCGAGTAAATAAATCTGACTGTAATAAACATGTAATTCAATTATATGTAAGTCAATTATAAGAAGGTTTGCTTTTGTAAACTGTTACATTGACTAGTGTAAATCATTGAATGAATGATTGAGGCCTGAAGCTTAACATTAGTGTGCTGTGCATGAAAAATTTGGTGTAGAAACAGTTTTCACTCACAAATCACTAGTACTTTTCTCAAATAATTACAGAGAAACTGCAAGTAACACATTGAATTAAACATAAAATTTTGAAGTAGAAAGACTGAAAGTTTTTTTGTAAAATGTACTTCAGTAATCTTTGTTTTATTTACAACCTCAAAAAATGAGATATTTATTGTTACCTAGCTACATGTTATGCAAAATAACCTTTGTTTCCATGCAGAACCATTGTGAACCATTCAATGGGGTACTCCACCTAAAAATGAAAATTCACTCATCCTCATGTCGTCCCAGATGTTTATAACTTTATTTCTTCATATGAACAGATATGGAGAATGAGATGTTAAGACAAATCATCCATCTCTGTGAGTCCATATAATGCAAGTGGATGGGACCCTCAAAAATGATGCTTCAAAAACCACGCAAAGAGAACATGGTAATTCATAAGACGTTGATGAATCAATGTCTTTTAAAGCAAAACTATAGGTGTGTATAAGTAAATTAATAATATTTTAAACTTTTTAACTACAAACCATTGCTTCTGACTGAGTTCATGGCAGCACATTTTAAATATTTGTTTTATTTTTTTACACACACCTATTTATTTTTTATTTTTGCTTCAGAAGACACTTATTCATCAGCATCAGCTTTACGTTGGCCGAGAGAGCTCAACATACTGCAACTGAACAAAACACGTGAAAATAGAAAAAAAAACCAGCAAATAAAAAAAAACATCATCAGTTTGACAATGTGCTGCAAATACTAACAACACAACCAAATACAGAAATGCGCTGCAAATACTCACAACGCAACCAAATACAAAAACGTACTGCAAATACTCACAACGCAACCAAATACAGAAACGTACTGCAAATACTAACAACACAA